TATCTTTAAGTGTTTTTAGTCACAAACCTCTCAGGAAACGAGGGAATGGCCGATCCCCCCACCCTTCCTGATTCGTGAATTTTCGGTCTTAACTAAGTTAAAAAGCTATTCACGGTAATCCGGAAGGCTTCCGCGTTCCGAACTACCCTTCCGCCCCGGCGGTTTAGGCCTATTAAGGGCGTTAATGTTATCATCCGCTCGGCGCGGAGTGCTCGTTAACGGTTCCGCCGGTCATGATGTTAAAAAGCAATAACACCCAGGAGCGCCATAAAAACATGTATGTAACATTCGCCCGGAAGATACATATCGACGGAAAATAAAACTAAGTCCTAAGACGACTGGCTAACGTCTAAACAGAGCTTTATATGCTTTTCACCGTCTCTACCAAGCCAGTACTTTCGGTTGTCTTTTCTAACATCGGGTCGACAAAAAACGTTATTGCTTTCGGCTTCGGTCATAACAATCAAATTAACTTAATTACATGCAGGAATAGTGAGCTCATGGCTGGGTCTCAGTATCCCCAGACCACGAGGTCACTCCTAAAAACAGGGCTACTACTATTTATTGAATTATTATTGTTTTTGTTCAGTAGATAAAAATAATCATCTCCATCGAAGATGGATCAACCCTTTCCCCCCAACTCCTAGCTTCTCATCCTTATCAAAATGAATCCAGTTGTTAATTAAATTCAATTCAGGACATGACAGGAAGCTAAAAGTTTTTATAACAGGATAAAATTTTCAGTCCCGAAACCCTTCCGGATTCTTGAATCCACTGAATCAAGCGCGTTAATCTTGATTTCTCCGTAACCCGGAAGGCTGTCTTCCACCCTTCACCGTTGTCTGCAACGGCCTTGCAACTATTGTAGCGACACAATAGTTGCAACTCGGAGTGTTCTCTGTTAACTTCGTGATTCGTTGTCGTTTCTTAATCACTATTTTCGTTCTTCTCGCAATCGCAACTAATGTTGTTCTGTTTCTTTTTAGTTCTTTTGCCAAAATGGACGTTTCTGACGTTTCTCAGAAATGTTACGTCATCACTTCGAAAATTTAAAATTTCAAAATACTGGAATATCTTGACCTTCACCGTTCTACTAATCATCCAAATAACGTCGTTAATCCTTCAAAATCACCAACTCGGAAGGTCCGCTGCTAAAAATTCGAAATCTGCAGAGATTGCATTTTGGCACATTCTGGTCGAATGTCACAGTGTTGAATTTTTGATTTTTTTTTCAAAAAGGTAGGTATAAAAAAACTATTCAACTCAAAACTCTCAACCCTACAGTAGGATGCTGTCAGAGTACACTCAGGAGTTGCAAATCTGGTTTTCAAGTGTGACTGCTCAAATCTTTTTGCTTTTCGAGATATGGCGTTTTTTCTGAAAAACCTGAATTAAAAAAACTAACCGATCTTGAAGTTGTCAAACCTAATAGTGGGGTTTTGTCATGGTACAGTCAAGGGGTACTGTCAGGGTACAAGTCTGACCTCTAAATTTTACTGCTCAAGTATATTTCCAAGATATGGCCTTTCTCATGATTTTTTCAAATAAACTTAGGTTTCAAAAACAACTTGTAGAAGTTGAATTTCTCAACCTTATGGTGGGGTGTTCTCAGGTTACAATATAGGGTAGCAATTTTGCCCTCTTGTTGTTTCTGCTCAAATCATTTTGGTTTTCGAGATATTACGTTTTTTATGAAATAAAAACCCCTGATAGATGAGCCAGGTTTATCTTCACGGTTGTATTCATTATCGCTGTTTTACTATGTGAATTACTAAGCTCTTTTTACGTTCAACGATCTTTTTGGAGCACCGTAGGTGCGAGTCATGCGCTAGTAATGATAATAGTTTGCTTAAGTTCGAATGTTTCAGCTTAAATTTGAACATGTTTTAACTCATTTGTCGTCTTAACGTCTTGTCTTATTTACTTAGCACCGCTGGTAGCACTGAATGGTTGAGAAAGCTCTTTATTATGTGCAAAATTACCTTCAAATGTAATTGCGACAGAGCCAATACTTGCTTAAACATGCTAAAATACTTTTCAATATCATGTGAACATTCTGTCATCATGTTTGTGTTTACCATCGAATAATACCAAAGCTGCGCTTGGTATGCTGTTTTGTTACTGAGAAAAGCAAAAACTAGCTTTGCTTTTCTTATATACCATTTTTATTGCCATTGTTTTGTTATACACATCAGTATTATATACAGATTTGGTATGTGACTGTTTGTGAAAAGCGTCGTGCATAAAAATGGCGGACAAGCAAGACGGCGATCTTTGTACACTCTGCCTGCAGATCAAAGCGGAAGTAAGTTGCGAGGAATGTAGGATCGATAGATGCCAGTCGTGTGATAAGTTGTACCACAAAGCAGCGGAGCGAAGTAAACACAAGCGAAACCTGCTGAAAACAACGCAACCAGTGCCCTGCCAGAATGATGCAAGATGTACAGATAGTAACGCGAGTTTTGTGCACCCTGTCTCAGCTGCTGCTACAAATAAATATCAGTGGCAAAAAGCACAAAGCGAAAATGCGCGTGAATTTTCGATGAGTTCAGTATCGCAACTGCCAGTCAATCCAAATAACTTTGCTGTGAGTAGAGCTGCAGTAAATGTTCCTTCATTTCAACCGAGAGCTGGGGTCCCCATTACTGGTAATATTGGATGGAACAAAGCTAGAACTAATCCACCGTTTGGTGCAAACATGCCAGCATCTTCTGTCGATACTTTTCAAACACTCGCATATACCGCGACCCACGTTGGCCCGAGAGTTCCAGGAGCAAGCTCGATGTCGCCAAATTATAGTAATGCAGCGATTCCAAACAGGTTTCCAAATCCACAGATGATTGGCTACAAACAGGCTACAAAATTGATCGTAACGATCCTGACTGATTTAAATGCCTGTAACAACAATATATCTATCAACAACAAACGGGGGGGTCGGATCACATCTTGTCTGCGGGGATGATTTCTACTGATTTTTTTTTTACTTTTTTTTACTGTTTTTGGTTTTTTCGGTTATTTTTGATGTTTTTTGTTTTTCGTGGGCACTATACTACTTTTTGTTTGGTTTTATATATATCTTTAAGTGTTTTTAGTCACAAACCTCTCAGGAAACGAGGGAATGGCCGATCCCCCCACCCTTCCTGATTCGTGAATTTTCGGTCTTAACTAAGTTAAAAAGCTATTCACGGTAATCCGGAAGGCTTCCGCGTTCCGAACTACCCTTCCGCCCCGGCGGTTTAGGCCTATTAAGGGCGTTAATGTTATCATCCGCTCGGCGCGGAGTGCTCGTTAACGGTTCCGCCGGTCATGATGTTAAAAAGCAATAACACCCAGGAGCGCCATAAAAACATGTATGTAACATTCGCCCGGAAGATACATATCGACGGAAAATAAAACTAAGTCCTAAGACGACTGGCTAACGTCTAAACAGAGCTTTATATGCTTTTCACCGTCTCTACCAAGCCAGTACTTTCGGTTGTCTTTTCTAACATCGGGTCGACAAAAAACGTTATTGCTTTCGGCTTCGGTCATAACAATCAAATTAACTTAATTACATGCAGGAATAGTGAGCTCATGGCTGGGTCTCAGTATCCCCAGACCACGAGGTCACTCCTAAAAACAGGGCTACTACTATTTATTGAATTATTATTGTTTTTGTTCAGTAGATAAAAATAATCATCTCCATCGAAGATGGATCAACCCTTTCCCCCCAACTCCTAGCTTCTCATCCTTATCAAAATGAATCCAGTTGTTAATTAAATTCAATTCAGGACATGACAGGAAGCTAAAAGTTTTTATAACAGGATAAAATTTTCAGTCCCGAAACCCTTCCGGATTCTTGAATCCACTGAATCAAGCGCGTTAATCTTGATTTCTCCGTAACCCGGAAGGCTGTCTTCCACCCTTCACCGTTGTCTGCAACGGCCTTGCAACTATTGTAGCGACACAATAGTTGCAACTCGGAGTGTTCTCTGTTAACTTCGTGATTCGTTGTCGTTTCTTAATCACTATTTTCGTTCTTCTCGCAATCGCAACTAATGTTGTTCTGTTTCTTTTTAGTTCTTTTGCCAAAATGGACGTTTCTGACGTTTCTCAGAAATGTTACGTCATCACTTCGAAAATTTAAAATTTCAAAATACTGGAATATCTTGACCTTCACCGTTCTACTAATCATCCAAATAACGTCGTTAATCCTTCAAAATCACCAACTCGGAAGGTCCGCTGCTAAAAATTCGAAATCTGCAGAGATTGCATTTTGGCACATTCTGGTCGAATGTCACAGTGTTGAATTTTTGATTTTTTTTTCAAAAAGGTAGGTATAAAAAAACTATTCAACTCAAAACTCTCAACCCTACAGTAGGATGCTGTCAGAGTACACTCAGGAGTTGCAAATCTGGTTTTCAAGTGTGACTGCTCAAATCTTTTTGCTTTTCGAGATATGGCGTTTTTTCTGAAAAACCTGAATTAAAAAAACTAACCGATCTTGAAGTTGTCAAACCTAATAGTGGGGTTTTGTCATGGTACAGTCAAGGGGTACTGTCAGGGTACAAGTCTGACCTCTAAATTTTACTGCTCAAGTATATTTCCAAGATATGGCCTTTCTCATGATTTTTTCAAATAAACTTAGGTTTCAAAAACAACTTGTAGAAGTTGAATTTCTCAACCTTATGGTGGGGTGTTCTCAGGTTACAATATAGGGTAGCAATTTTGCCCTCTTGTTGTTTCTGCTCAAATCATTTTGGTTTTCGAGATATTACGTTTTTTATGAAATAAAAACCCCTGATAGATGAGCCAGGTTTATCTTCACGGTTGTATTCATTATCGCTGTTTTACTATGTGAATTACTAAGCTCTTTTTACGTTCAACGATCTTTTTGGAGCACCGTAGGTGCGAGTCATGCGCTAGTAATGATAATAGTTTGCTTAAGTTCGAATGTTTCAGCTTAAATTTGAACATGTTTTAACTCATTTGTCGTCTTAACGTCTTGTCTTATTTACTTAGCACCGCTGGTAGCACTGAATGGTTGAGAAAGCTCTTTATTATGTGCAAAATTACCTTCAAATGTAATTGCGACAGAGCCAATACTTGCTTAAACATGCTAAAATACTTTTCAATATCATGTGAACATTCTGTCATCATGTTTGTGTTTACCATCGAATAATACCAAAGCTGCGCTTGGTATGCTGTTTTGTTACTGAGAAAAGCAAAAACTAGCTTTGCTTTTCTTATATACCATTTTTATTGCCATTGTTTTGTTATACACATCAGTATTATATACAGATTTGGTATGTGACTGTTTGTGAAAAGCGTCGTGCATAAAAATGGCGGACAAGCAAGACGGCGATCTTTGTACACTCTGCCTGCAGATCAAAGCGGAAGTAAGTTGCGAGGAATGTAGGATCGATAGATGCCAGTCGTGTGATAAGTTGTACCACAAAGCAGCGGAGCGAAGTAAACACAAGCGAAACCTGCTGAAAACAACGCAACCAGTGCCCTGCCAGAATGATGCAAGATGTACAGATAGTAACGCGAGTTTTGTGCACCCTGTCTCAGCTGCTGCTACAAATAAATATCAGTGGCAAAAAGCACAAAGCGAAAATGCGCGTGAATTTTCGATGAGTTCAGTATCGCAACTGCCAGTCAATCCAAATAACTTTGCTGTGAGTAGAGCTGCAGTAAATGTTCCTTCATTTCAACCGAGAGCTGGGGTCCCCATTACTGGTAATATTGGATGGAACAAAGCTAGAACTAATCCACCGTTTGGTGCAAACATGCCAGCATCTTCTGTCGATACTTTTCAAACACTCGCATATACCGCGACCCACGTTGGCCCGAGAGTTCCAGGAGCAAGCTCGATGTCGCCAAATTATAGTAATGCAGCGATTCCAAACAGGTTTCCAAATCCACAGATGATTGGAAGTCAAGGATTGCCACAGTTTCCATTTAGTGGTGTCAATTTGGGCGGATACCACAGCAACCTTGTCAATTCAAATACCTCTGGAGCTACGCAAGATTTTACGTTTATGTTTCAACAAGCGGGCGGTGGAGATCGTAGAAATACTGTAAGCTCAGATGCAACTTTGGTGAATCCGAGTTGGCTAGAAGATCTGGAAAAGTCGATCGATATGGGAGCGCCGAAGCCGTTAGATATAAATGCGTTAACGAACTCGATGCATCAACAGAATATGATGGGAAGTAGCTGTTATGAAATGCCATCTTTTGAGTCTTCTCATGTACCCATTCCTTCAGTAAGCACGGGTTTTGACAGACAGAGTAAGCGATGTCAATCTATGATGGTACCAAATGTTCCTCGCGACAATTCGTTGACGCCAGCCGTGCCCAAAATAAATTTTTGTCCGAGCTGTGGTTCAAGATTTGCTGGTGGGAAATTTTGCAGCAACTGTGGTTTTCAAGTTGTGGGACAAAGCTTGGCGCCGCCTGTAATGCAGCAAGCCGGCTCATTGAATTCTTCGGAATCATTTTTCACTCCTCCGGCGTCTCCGGATTCTTTTTTAAAATCGGAACTAACTACACGATCGCCCAAACATTCGCCAAGGAAGAAAGAGAACAGCGCTCCTCCAGATGAAGATAAGTTAAGCAAAGAACCGGAAGTGCCGAAAGTTGACACAAAAGAAGCGGCTAAAACGACAGAGAAACCAAAAAATGACGAGCCCGTTATTATTACACGCAGAGGCGCATTTGAAGACGACGACAGCACTCTTATTGATGGAATGGAAACAGTTTCGTTTCTGAAAGACCAGATAGCTCAGGGCTCGAGTCTGGATGATCTTGAGGTCATGTTGGCATCTTCAAATCCAACAATCCAAGGAGTAGATATATGCACAAGCGCAGTGGAAGACACCATGAACGCAGTTAATGATATAGTTGCCTCGAAACTCAATCAAGAATTGAAGAAAGTTTTGTGTCTTTCAGTTGCAGAGCGGAGATTCGCATTGGAATTGTGCGAGTTTGACAGCATTAAAGCTGCAGAGTTTTCTTTGAATTCTAGAAAGTGTTTAGGCCAACAGCTTATAGGAGTAGGAGCTGAGAATAAGAAGTACGTTTTGTTTCATGAGAAAATGCAGCAGAATGGGGGCAATTATCGGTCTGCTTACGCAGAGATGCAAGGCCACATATTTGCGAATCTTCTGCAGTCGAGGATTTGGAACAGCGACGAAGGTTCGAACATTTTGGAACGACAAGATTCCGCTAAATCGGAGTCTTTCTCAGCTGAAGCGATGACATACACGGATACGCTTGTTGAAGACGCGGTGAGAAACTCGAATATTCCTCCTGTCTCAGGAATATTGGCAAAAGCAGTTTTTCTTCGCAAAATAATGGCTGAGAAGCAATTGCCGTTTTCACGCGCGCAGCTTCTGTTTTCAATGTTGAAAAATAAACCTGACTTGGAATACTCGTCGGCTTTGTGGATCGCCAAAAACATTTCGCAGGAAAGTCTTAAAGTGCCCAAAAGTTATGAGCGATACATTGTGGAATGCAGTGTTCAGTACGAGGAACTGGCTCATTGCTTCATAATTAAACTTCCCAGTTGTAAAAATGAATGCAAGGTCTGTCATAACTGCATGCGCAAACATTTACAAACGCAGCTTTATGAATCAGGTAAAAGCGTGCGCAATATTGAGTGCCCGGGTTGTGGCTCGAAGATTATTTCCAACAACGAAAATGACACTTATCTCCAGCAACAATTGAAAAATTTTCTACCACAAGAAATGTTCAAATTGTTCGATACCCGGTTTTTGGAAAATATCCTAGAAGAAGACAATTACTTTAAATGGTGTTCAGAGGCAACATGTGCTCAGGGTATTCTATGGGAGAACCCTAGGGTTCTGAAAATGACATGTTATGAAGGCCACTCAACTTGTTTCGAATGTGGTCGAAAATGGGTCGACCAACATGACGGCCTAACTTGCGAACAGTTTTCTCAATGGGAAATGGAAAATGATCCTGAATATCAAAGCAAGCGCCTCGACGGATTCTTGCGGGCCATAGATGCCATGAAGTGTCCACAGTGTAAGTTCAGGTACGAGTTGGTCCGAGGAGGTTGTCTGCATTTCACATGCAGCAAGTGTCAGACTGAGTTCTGCGGGTTCTGCTATGCTCTCTACTCCAAGGAGTGTAGGAGGTTCTCCAAGTGTGCCAAACTAGGACTGCATCAGCATTGTCCAAGGTCAGTATCTTTAACTTAAAGGTCGTGGTTTCGAATCTCGCTTCGGTCATGTTTGGAGGGGTCCCAGTGTCATCCGACTTCTCAAGGTGGGAGCGGCGGCGGCAAATTGGATGAAATCTCTCTCCCCCACGGAATAAAAGGCCCAAGGTTAAAAGGTGGGAGCTGGGCCGGGGGTTAAAAAGTTTGTATCTCAATTTGCGAAAAAAATTTCAGCATTTCAAGTTTCTTTTCAAATCGGAGAAAAAAGGCTTTTGAGAAAAAGACATCTAAACATTTCAAATTTGTTGCATTCTGAAGCTTCGAAACTGATTCAATGATGAAATGTGCTCAATAATTACAGGAAAAATTGCAGTGGATCGTAAGAAAAGCTAGAATAGCCGTTGTTGCTCAACGAGCATAGAATGTGGCCACATTTGTCTTTGCGAAAGGTTTTTTTAAAACGAGGAGAATAATATGTAGTATTATTTAGGATTGGTTTAACCATTGAAGTTAGTTCTCGAAATCTCAAATTCAACATCCCAGACCGCCGCTCGAAATCTTATTTTCTTTTGTGGTTCGTTTTCCAATGTTAATTAAGAGTCGCTAAATGTAGCGCAGACTCTTGTTTAGGTCGTGATGATTTTTTTTCAGGCAAGTCTTAAATTTTGATCGGCTCATTTTTTTAAAAAAATTTCCATTCATTTTCTTTGATCGACTTCTAATTTCGAAAATGGATTTTAACTATCAGATTTCCCAGTGAAATAAAAAGAATTATCTATTGATCTAGTTTTTCAATATGGGGTAATTTTTATCAAAAAAGCGTCAATTATAAATTGTTCTAGAAGTTCGAAGAGTTTAAATTCATCTATTTTTTCTTTGAAATGCGAAACCTGACATTTTTTTCACAAAAAAAAAACAACTAAGTAATTTCTTATGGTTACTTGTGTTCATTGACTCTTATAAAATTGTCTGTTGGCTATGTTTTAACTCGAAATCTTCAGTGGTAGCGGAGAAATCAGCTCTAGTTTCCATATGCTTTTTGATGCATATATTTGGCAATTAACTATCTGTTTTCACTACAGAAATCAACTTTTCAATAGATTTGATGTCAACATAATCATCATTTTTATTGCATGATCAATTAGGATTTTTGCTGTGTCCGATATTAATAAGATTAATGAACGTATTGAGTACTCTTATATAGATCTTGCTGATTTTTTTTGTTGTTTTTTTTTTCAGGACAAGGTCTTAAAATTCCCGCTCAGTTTTTGATTTTTCGCCGTTTGACTTGTGATTTTTTATGTTCAGTGAATTTCCATTGTTAAAAAGAAGGCTAACTTCACTATCGAACAAAAGTGTAAAGGTGACAAAAAAGGTCTGATTTCGAAAATGGAAAGTAATTTATCAGATTTCCCAGCGAAATAAAACTTTTACGTTTTGATCCAGTTTTCTCAAATTTGGTTTATTTTAACAAAAAAATGTCCATCAAAAATGGTTCTACAAATTCAAAGATCTTTAAGGCCATTATTTTTTTTCTTCGAAATTCAAAAGTTGATGGCTCTTGAAAAAACAATCAGTTTTTTTCAGTTTCCTTGCGTTCATTACTCTTTTCCAACAGTTTGTTGGTCATGTTATTTGCTTACAATTTTAATACCAATTTTTGCAAATAGATTTTTGGCAGATAGTTTTTTGCAAATAGTTATATCTTATGGTGAAACTCTATTGATCGAATATCAGCAAGCTAATATAAGTTATAAGAATAAATTAACCATTTTTTGCGGCAGTAGTTGAAATTTTTACGCTTAAGTAGGTTTTCTTTGTGAAGGTCTTTGACATTAAATTGACTAGCTTAGTATCTTATTAAGTTTTTTTTAATGAAATTTACTTGAAATTGTTAATGGACCTTTGTTGAAAGTCTCAGCGATTTTTGCCTTCCTTGTTTTTTTTAGTGGGTGTTTCGCCTATTTTTATCCTCTTTAATGCTGGATTTCCCGCTGGGACTTTTTTCTAATGCTTTGTCGAATTGTTTGGATAACTGGTTGTTGCTGGATTGTTGTCAGATCTTATCATTTTATTTTAAAGCGCCAACAAGAATCATTGTACAGGCTTTGTTTCTGCGCTTACAATGAATTTTTAAAATTAGTTCTCGTTATTTCTGTTTGTCGACCAATCAAACTCATTTTTCATTCTAAAATGCTTATTTTGAAGGTTCGTTTAATACAAATGTTGTAAGGACTTCAAACTATTTTTTTTGTATTCAAAAAAGAGCAGATGTTCATAGCTATCGTCTATAAAAGTATCACCCGTACATAACAAAAATTCAAAAATCTGATCTGCCACACCAAAGTCTAACTTATTTCAGAGCTTGTGCAGATATGATCCATGTCTGATTTGAACATGGCCACGTCTGTTTCAGTTCTGGGACAGATATGGATTTTTACGCTTGCGATAAGCAAGCGTTTTCAAACTGGAATATAGACTTTTTTTGGGTTAACAACTAAATTAACAAAATCAGTTGAATCTTTTCTTTTCACTTTTCTTTTTTATCATCTCTTCATTTATCTTCCTACCTTCTCTGAACATGTTAGACGTTGCTTCCCCCTTGGCCTGGAGGTGAAGCAGTTGCCTTTGTACCCTGAGGTCTGGGGTCCGAGGCGTGGCTCCGAGAAAATTGAATTGTTGGTTTTTCGTTTTTTCGCTCAGGTTTTGTCGGCTAAACTGCTACAACAGATTTAGCTTGTGCTCTAGATATTTTTCATTGTTGTTGCAAGTGCAAATGTTGTTCATTCTAATTTCAAGGGGGACTTGAAACATTTTAAAAAATCAAAAAATCATTTTTTTTTTCGGTTCAAGTGTTTTCAGCTCAAAGATTGTTGGCCTAGTTGATTTTTCTTTTGCTTCAAACAACTTTCGTTTTAGTTGCAAGTGCAAGTGTTGTCCATTGTTGTTTGAAGTGGACTTAAAACTTTTTTTTTCTATAAAATCATATTTTTTTCGGCTCAACTTGTGTCTGCTCAAAGATGTCGGCTTTGCTTGTTTTCGTAAATTTTGCTGCGTTGTTGCTGATTTAAAATTCAAGTGTCTGGAGTGCTTGCCTGGAATGAACTTCTATCGAGACATGAAAGTTTATGACTGTTTTTTTTTTCCAAATTTATTCATTTTCGCCTTTTCATGTTTTTATTTCATGTTTGTGTTGTATCGCAAGTGATGCGAAGCTTTGCTTCGCCTCTGCGTCTTACAAAGTTTTTCAGGTTCCAAAAATGTCAGTTTTTGCCATCTGCAGTTAGATTTCAAGTTTTTTTATTAGAAACAGCCGAGTTAAAGAAAGACAACTACCTAAAAAATGAAAGTTTCCCTGCGAGTGATTAAATGGCATGAACAAAATGTCTTAACTGTCGATGAACGAAGAGAAGACACGTATTTAGTTTGTATGGTTATTCATTTTTGTCCAAGAAAAAGCTCCTGAAAGTTATTCACGTTTAAATTTGATTCATGGCTTAACTCTTGATTCTTTCAAATTTAACTCAAAATCATTTGCTAAAAGAAAGGCAAGTTTAACTCCTTTTTTAAAAGTGATTTTTAATTTCAAAGAGTTTCCAGTGGATTAAAAAAATTAGTATCGATCTAAATTTTGTGAAAAAAGGGCCCATCATTGTTCAAATTTCAAATTCAAAGAGTTTTAAATTGATTTTTTTCTCTGAAGTTCGAAAAGTTTCCAACTTTTTTTCATTTTTTTTGGTTTTTTCTTGTTCATTTCATTGGCGCTGTTTGATGGTTTTTTCCTTCAAATGTCGAGCTCAATTTTTGAATGGTTTAATTTTCTATTTTAGTTATTCTTTGAATTGAAGTTTTCAAAGGACTGAAAAAAGGGGTTTTGTTTTTGCTATGCGGTACAATTTTTTGACAATAGTTTTTTGTTGACGATTTTTTATTTCGCGAATGAGGCTGATCTCCGCTTTGCTTGCTTGGAATTTCTGCTTCTAATTTATCTATTTTGTAAATTTTGAGAAAGTACCAGTAATGTTCGTCTCATGAAAATATTTATAAATTATATTTGATGATTTGTGTAATGAAACCAAGTATAAAAATTTCTGAAACTTTCAACTGAACGTATGGGCAGTACAGTACATTCACATTTCAACATCAGTGAAATATTTTTTGGCCCATTATTCATTGGAAGTGGATAGCTGTTTTCCAGCGAAAAAAAAGCGAGTAACGTCAAGAATAAAATACCTAAATCAGAGTTTTAAGACAATGTGAAATGATTTAGATAACCCTAAGATTGTTGTGTTACGTAATATGATTCATATTTGTGTTTAAGATATTGCTACAGTTATCTGCGTGACAAAGATATCTCGACTCTACAAGAGCTTCTGACAGATGCTGGCGTTGATTACAGTCAACAGCTGCCGAATTCAGCCGCCGAGGCTACTGGCAACAATACATGCCCAATCATTGAAACGAGTAACAGCGGCAGCGAAAAAGCATGCGGGCAGCCAGCTAAACCACAGCAGGGTGGCGTGTGTGACAAACACTATAACGAGTATCTGTCTACTTTGATAAAGAAAAACAAAATTGACCCGGTTGTGAAATTTTCGGTCGATGAGTGTTTGGCGGAACTACACAGAAGAGATGTGGCTTTCGACGAAAATTCTGAATTGGAAGTGTTGAAAAATTTGGTGATTACGAAAATACCCCTGGAGTATTTCTGATCAACCTGAAGGTGTTTGAAAGACTTTTCTGCTCACATTGTTGAATTTTGAACTCTGAAATTTTCTGAAATTCTATGAAACTGTGCTTTCAGTTCAGCTAGTCTGAAGTTTTTATATAACTCAATTATTATTTCCTTCGATGTTTAATTATATCGGTAAATTTTGCGTACTATCTGATTGAAAACATAATCTGAAAAATGTGTGCTATTGTTTCGCCTTGGAATTTTTGGGAGAAGCGTTTTCAGTTCCATGATGTATATTGAGCCAATCGAACTCTATCCTCTGACGAAATTTAGTTAGATTTTATAATTATTCCTCCAATTAATGAAATTGACGCTTATATTTTTGTTTCAGGCTATCGACATAAAACTGAAAAAATGCAATCATTAGTTTGATTGTAACCCCTGACCTCTGACGCAATAGTTATTTAGATATTAAGTCAAATATTTACATTTCAGAGCAAAATGTCGGTACATCAAAATTTACTCCGAGGTCAATTGTGTGACGTAATTCAGTATTGTGACAGGTACCCAAATCTGAAGCTGAAGCTACTTGAATTCCTGAAATATTCTCATGTGATTGTTTTTGAAGGTCAAAAACACGAAGTGTTTCTGTCCTCAATACACGAGGTTGCTCAAAATTGCTGCAACAACCCAGAACTAGTCGAAAAATTAAATTTCATTTTGCCATCAACTTATGCTCTATTCAAACGACATAAAGTGTTTGATTGGTCATTTGGATATTTGCTTCATAACTGGCAAAAGTATGTACCCAGAGAAATAACAACAATAAATGAAACGGAAACTGTTGAAATTTTGACCAGTTATTTTTTTCATTCACTGGATCAAAAGTATTCATCTTTCTCGGATAAAGAGAAATTTATTTCAAATTTATTTTCGTTTTACGATATCCAAAACAGAATTAAATGTCTTGCTTGTCTAAAGCTCGACCTAAATGAAAGTTTTTTCATCGAACTGATCATAATTTTGGACAAGATGTTGTCAAATTTGAGTGCCTTATCGTTGAATCAAACAACAGAATATAATGAAGATCTATCGATTTACCAGCTAACTGATCCAGATTTTGAAGATCTCTTTTCAAAAATTTACTCTGTTTGCGATAGTCAAAGTGTGTATGAAAATTTTATCAGATGCATTGACCTCTACAATGAAAGAAAAGTGTCAAAACCTGAGTTAGCTAGATTAGTGTTACCGTTTTTGAAGAAACAACCAGAGATTTGGAGTTTGTTTCTGAAACTACTTAACTTGGACCCTTACGTGGTTTTTGACCCGAATTTTTCCGATACCCGTCCATTTAGCAAAAAAGAATATAACGAATATTTTGAGTTTGATTTCCTTACAAGTAAAAGATTTGGATCAAGCTACCGACTTCTACGGACAACAGAAATAGTTGCAGAATGTCCTTTGCATGGAAGTAAAAAGCCGCGAAGTTACAAAGCCAAAAATTTAGACACTGAGAATCAATTTTCATGCGAAAAGCTTAAATTATGCAAATGTAAAGTGAACAAAGTATGGAACTCTTTTCCAAGTTGGTCGGAAGCGTCTTGGCAAATTATTGACAAACCGACAAGTTTGAAAAGCAGACAACATCTAACTAAGTTCACGGACTATTTGAATAAAATTGAGGACGATCGCTACGAACTAGATATGATAATACTGAACAATATTTCGGCTATTAAGCTTTTGGAAAGGTTCCAAAGCATTATTTTGGATTCGGCTGGAAACAATTTCGACCGAATAAACGCAGAAATGAAAAAGTTTATGCTCAACCTGCCGGGTGAGCGTGCTTATTCTGTGGAAAAATGGGCGATAAGCCGAATATATGGATCGAAGTTCTTTGATATCATGGAGGGCATTCAAAATAATCCTTATGTAGCAATCCCGGTAGTTCTGAGAAGACTTCAAGAAAAACATTGCGAGTGGAAACATCTAAAAGAGACGTTAAATGGTGTTTGGAAACATCTAAGCGAATCGTTTACTAAGAAACACAATGTACAGCTTCTGGCTAACTTGAACAATGTCAAACTAGCCCAGTTTAAAAAATCGGCGTTGAAGGTTTTGAAAAACGAACTGGAAGTTCAAGAGGCGGAATTGAGGTTTAAACTAAACTTGAAATCCCTGAACAAAATATCAAATCAGCACCACGCCAATACCTCGAATGTTTGTTTTCCTGTTCAAAATTTCGAGTTCGAAATTTCGGTGTTGAAATTAACAGCCGACTTGGTTCAGATTTCGATCAATGACTCTGCGTTTGGACAGCAGAAATTTCCAATTGATGAAACAAGTAATGACAGCGAAATTGTTGCTGATTTTGACTCTAGTTTATCTTCGTTTATGAAGTACGTTTGCAAAAACCTTTTGTTCGTTGACACTGAAGAAACAAGTACCCAAATAGGTTGTGAAAAAGTTTTAATTGAACCAGAGGCTCGGCGTACCACTGAAAAATTTATATGCAATTTTCAGTGGTATACGGTATTGAAATTTATATATCAGTTGCATGAAATCTTCGAAAAAGCAATCACGAAGTTTAGAAAAAACGAAACAAATTCAGCTCATGAAAACATAGAAGTCATTTGTCATAAGATTTTCTCAATTTGCACTGGATTTTTACTGGGAGCGACCGATGCTAACGGGTTTGAATCATCTATCGCTTCTGAATTCGGGTCTGAAGTATACATTGAGCTCGCATGCGTTGATAAAGTTATGTCTAATTTTGTGAAGTTTTTAAATACCGTTTGGAATAGCTCAAACTGTTTGAATCTTCTAAGCTTATGGGCTAAATTTAGCAATGAAGATGTAAGTTCGGAAGAAATCTGGTTTATATACTTCAAGGATTGTTTGAATTTTTTCACGGCGTCAGAACGAATTTTTGAAGCCGCTTTTGTCATTAGCAGAAATAAAGGTAAAGTTGAAGTTAAACATTGGAAGCGAGATTTTTTTGACCAAATTCGGAAAATAGCTGAAGAGAAATGTGTAGAAGAAGAATATTTAAATCGTTATTTGAATTTTCACGAAACGAGACGATATAAATCAGATGAAATTGATGATGTTGACGACCACAGAAAAATAGGAAGATCGCCTGTGTTTTTGAAACGAAATGTTAGGAAATCTGCGATGCCCTCTAAATTTTATTTCAACGATGATTCCAGTCAGTATTTCGGGGCTGAAAATAACAGCGGAAGGAAACGGATAATCGAATGCACAGGCTCCTCAACATGTTTTTACGTACCGAAAATTTATTTCGAGGGTTGCGATGATGCTGCACAAAAAGCAAAGAAGAGAAAACGCGCTTTCGATAAGTTAAAAATTCAATTATAGTGTACGATTAGTATTGATGGTTTGTAAAATTAGAATTATATGAATTCTTTTTTCCGTGTCTTAAGATATAACAAGAAGTAAAAGTATTGTTCCGACTTTCGAAGAAAGTCAGGAGTATATATGCTCGCCGTTGTTTTTATTTCAGACCTCTTTTTACATTTTTTTAACAACAAGATAAAGTTAACAACAAGATCAGTTGAATCACTTGCTGGCTGTGCAGCTGACTTCTTTTCACTTTTCTTTTAATATCTTACAGGTTGCTTTTTTCTTGGCCTGGAGGTAAATCAGTTGCCTTTGTATACTAAGGTTCTGGGTTTCGAGTCCCGGCCAGGCCTGGTTTTTTTAGTATCAAGGAATTTGAAAAAAAAAGTTCAGAGATAAATGAATTGTTGGTTTTTCGTTTGTTTGCTCAAGTTTTATCGGCTACATTGCCACAACTTATTTTGCTTGTGGTGTAGACAATTTTCATTGTAGTTATAAGCGAAGTGTTGTTCATTCTATTTTCAGGGGGTGACTTGAAAGATTTTTAAAAACGGTTTTATAATTTTTTTTTATTTAGTTGGTGCCTGCTCAAAGATTGTCGGCTTAGCTGCCACATCACCGATTTTTTTTGCTCTAAGCAAATTTCATTGTAGTTGCATGTGCAAGTGCTGTTCTTTCTATTTTAAACGGGGACATGAAAGATTTTAAAAAAACAACAAATATTTTTTTTTGCGATTCAAGTGGTTTCAGCTTAAAGATTGTTGGATTGGTTGGCACACCACTGATTTTTCTTGTGCTGAAATAATTTTCATTGTAGTTGCAAGTGTTGTTCCTTGTTGTTATTTTTTTCAAAAATTTTCGTTTTTTTTCGGCTTTTTATGTTTAGTTTATGTTGGCGTTCCAAATTGAATTGATGCAGTTAGTTGGTTTTATTAACTTCATACAAATTCAAATAGCGATACTTAATTTTTGATTTTATCAGCCTAAAGTCCATAGCTTTGCCAATATTTAATTTATCAAAAACTAGTTAAAGGGGCTAATTAAAGCGCAGTCGAAACGCTTAGGCCTTTGCTCTGATACGAGCAGTCTTGCTTAAATCAAGTCGCGTGCATCGAGCTACATTGTTCCGAGCACCTAACATGCGATGAAACTTGTATTCGGTTTAGTTTTATTTTCACGCCGATTCAGGTACAGCAAAGAAGTATAATCATAAGGAAACAGCAATAACATCTTAAAGTAGTGAACGCGTTTTTTGCAAGATTCTACAGGTGCCTAAAATGCAAAGCTTACGTGAGGCGTCGAAAATTGTTTTTTTTTCTTCAATTTCAGATGTCTAAGTTCTTTGCTCGGAAGCGAAAGCCCGAATTAGGCACAGCAGGCAAGCCAACTAAAAGTAAACTCCTGAAACCGAGCAGCAACATTGGGAGCAAGAAAGTGAAGAAGAAGGATTTTGAAGACGAGGTGGTGACTTCGGACAGCGACTTGGACGGAGGCTCACTTCCCCCGCCTGAAGACAACGAAGAGGAGGCTGAGAATGAAGAAGAGACTAATCAGCAGACAAAACTAAGACTTGCAAAAGCATATATTGAGGAAGTGAAGGAAAAGGTACCTGTTTTGTTCTTTCAATTTGAGTATAAAAAAGAAAAATTATTCATTCTAAAATTAATAAGTTTCGGAAGTTGCCATAAAAGCGGTTAAAGCATCAGCAATTTTTTTTACTTCAGTAATCGGCGACTAAAATCATTCTATTGGTGGTGTCATAATACTTGCTGAGATGTGGGCTTTGGAAAGAAATATTGCAATATGATTATTACGCTTGCGATTAGCAAGCGTTATTAAAGCGGAATGTAGACTTTTTTTGGGTTAACAACTAGTTTAACAAAATCGGTTGAATCTTTTATGGGTTGGTAATAGGTGGGTGGGTACTAAATTACTATCAACCACTGGGCGGGAACTAGTTACTACAGGGCAGTTTGAGGGGGACTTGAAACTTGTTAAAGTTTTTTATTACAAAATCCTTTTTTTTCGGCTCAACTGGTGTCTGCTCAAATATTGTCATCCCTGTTTCCGCTTCGTAAAATTGTTCAGTTTCTAATTTTAATTTCAATTGTCTTGCTTGGCTTGTTTGCTTTGAATTCCTATTCAATAAAAACAGGTATTATGAAAATGTTTGAAATTGGTTTTTTTTTTGGAAAATTTCATCACTTCGCAAAAAAAATTTTTTCTTAAAAATCCTTTTAACGATTTTCAAAAGTGGTATCCATAGAAAAACCGCTTGTATTCTTTTGTGCTTGCATACTCGCCTGGGCTCTTTTTGCTTTATCACTTTGTCTGCGGCCTTCGAAAATGTCTGTGGGGGATATTTGACCGATATTTCAGATTTTTTTGTATTTTCAAAAACTAACCTACCAAGTCAGAGATTTTTGTTTCAGTGAATAGAGCAAACCTTTCCGATTCGCACAATTCTCATTTCATTTAATAGAGAAACGACGGAGGTTTTGTGCAAAGTCCAATTTTTGAAATTACGCATTTTGTACCGCATCAGTATAACATTCAAAAAATATCAAACACCTTCATGCCGATTTAGCTGGGCCCTAAGTGTGCTTCATTGGGTTATGTGAAAACTTTGGTTCACCTAGTTTTTTTTCAACGTTTTTGTTTCATATTTTATGATTGTGTTGTATCGCAAGTGGAGCGAAGCTCGGCTTCGCCGCTGTGTGCAAACAACGTGTTCATAGCTGCGAGGCACTTTTATTCCTCTTGCATGAAGTTTTCGAAATTTTCAACCAATTGACGCCCTTTAAATGGTCGAAAACTCCAAATTTATTGCTTTTTTCTATCGAACTTTTGAAAACTGAGCTCTGATTTGTTGTAAAATTTTCGCAAAATGTGTCATTCGCGCATAAGGGATGTCCCCTGACTTAATCAGCAAAACAGATAGTAGTGCAAGAAAATATAGCATTTTCGCGAACGACAATGCCTTTTTTCACGAACGGCAGCCAATTAAGTCAAAGAATACTCGGCAAACAGACACACCCGATAGTTTCGGCAAAGTGACCTTTTGGATTTTTCTACATGCCACCATGATATGTTATAGGTTCGGCTGGGGTTGACCTCAGATCGCAAACGACTACACGGGGACGAATCGGGAGGTGAGAGCTCAGATGACAATTCCGACGAAGAAGCTCAAGTGGGGCTCGCATTACGGAAAGAAAGTGCGCTCAAGTCAGGACAATTGCAACAAGAATATTCTAGAATCTTTACTGAGAACGAACCAAAAGAAGTGCAAAGATTCACAGGACATAAAAATTCTGTTACATGTGGCTGTTTAAGTGCAAATGGCCTTGAATTATACACAGGAGCGAAAGATTGTTCTATCATCAAGTGGTGCTTGGTTAAGGCAGAAAGAATATGGCGGATCCAAGGGCAAAAAAAGAAAGCAAAAGACAGAGTTTGTCATAAATATCAAGTGAACAGTATTGCTGTTTCTGACGATTCAAAGTTTTTAGTTTCTGCAGGAAATGACAATGAAATTTTCATATGGAATCCTTTAAACGGAAGTTTGGTGACTAAGCTTAAAGGTCACCAATCTAGTGTGATCTCTTTGGCGTTCAAGCCGCATAGTTATCAGTTGTTCAGTACTTCTAAGGACAGATTTGTGAAGATTTGGCAGGTTGACGACGAAGTTTTGCTCGACAATTTGTGCGGTCATGAAAGTACAGTAAACTCAGTTCATGTTTTCTACGAGAATCCGGTAACAAGTGGAGGAATTGACAAAACGATACGACTTTGGAAAGTGGCAGAAAGTTCGCAACTTGTTTTTGTACATTCAGAGTATGTTGATTGCGTTTTGTGTTTGAGTAGAGAAACTTTTGTGTCTGGAGATTGCGCAGGTGCGCTTTGTATCTGGTCGACCAAAAAGAAGAAGCCAATTTTTAAACAGCTGGATGCACATTCGCCCAAGTGGGTTGCTAGCTTAGCTACTTTGCCTTCTTCTGATATTTTAGCATCGGGCTCTTCTTGTGGAGCAGTTAAACTGTGGAAAGTTATAAAATACGTGAAACTGCAATTGATTCGATCGGTTCCAGTGACAGGTTTCGTCAATTTTATTCTGTTTACCCCTGATGCGACAAAGATGATTTTGGGTATCTCAAAAGAAAATAAACTGGGAAGGTTTGAAGTGATTGAAAACTGTAAAAAATCAGTTATGGTGTATCAATTTACAGCTGCTGAGTAAGACTGTCAATGAATTGTGAATTGATCTTATAAAAGGTATATAAAATTTTAAGTTTTGTTCTTTGGTTTTCTTCTGCAAAACTCCCAAAAAGCGGTTTACGTTTTTTTAAGTGATATAATTGACATACTTTTAAAACGGCGTCAAAAATTATGCATTTTTTATCAGTGGAAAGATGTGATGAGAGGATCTGAATGAAAGCCAGAACTTAATCCTATTCGATAATAATATTAAATTAGGCTTATTCGACTACAGTTTTCTTCGAAAAATGAATAGAAAAAGTTTTCAGAAATGAATAGAAAAAGTTGTCAGCTTTTTTTTCAAAATCAGCTAACAGAGCATACCCGAAGAATAGGCTCCTCGCCACTTTCAGTGGTCGGAACAATACTAAAAAATTTAAAACACTAGTTTCGGTAAACAGGCTAAAATAATTTTAAACTCATCTCTTACATTTTGGAACTACACCAAAAAAAATTTAGGTCTCGCAATCAAAAAATCCTAATGATACAATTTCAATTTGTGGTATTTGTATGATTAGCAATTTTTAGCAAACGTTTTTCTAATGATGTTACACTGATTATTATGCCCAAAACAAACAAAAAAATAAAACTCGACTACATCATTTGAGCAAATGTTCTAAAATTTTGTATGACTAGCATTTTTTCAGACCTAGGGCATGGAATTAATGATAAGCTTTTCCGGTCTATGGAAGTCAACCCGGGTTGCTAGGTATTTTCTTTTTTGTGCTTCGTTTTGACTGTTTGATTATCAATTTAAAAAGGCTGAATGTGAAAGAAATATCGAATATTGTTCTTGATTCACAAAAATGAAGCTGTGGCGACACGAAATTAATTCATGATAGTTTTTCCTCCGTCTCAACTCTTTCTGCGAAGTTTATTTAGTATTAACCAACTTTTTTTGCACCGCTTTGATTAATCACCAGGGCTTTTCTAAGGCGGAATTATCATTTAATAGCAAATATCTTTGCAATTTCTTTTTTTTATTGATACAAACAAGTTAATGTGCCGGTTACGTAAAACTAAATGAAAAATTTTCTACATTAAGATTTTTTCGTTCATTTTTTCGTTTGTTTAACAATATCTTTTATTGAACTTGGTAAGAACCTCCGTCTCAACTCTTTCTGCGAAGTTAATTTAGTATTAACTAACTTTTTTGCACCGCTTTGATTAATCAGCAGGGCGTTTGTAAGGCGGAAATATCATTTAATAGCAAGTATCTTTGCTATTTCTTTTTTTGCTTGATACAAACAAGTTAATGTGTCGGTTACGTAAAACTAAATGAAAAATTTTCTACATTTGAGATTTTTTCGTTCAAAATGGCGAGGCTTAAATGGTTTGGTTTTGTTCAACAATATCTTTTTTGAACTTGGTAAGAACCTCCGTCTCATTTATTTCTGCGAAGTTTATTTAGTATTAACTAACTTTTTTGCACCTCTTTAATTATTCACCAGGGCGTTTGTAAGGCGAAAATATCATTTAATAGTATAAATCTTTGCTATTTCTTTTTTTTGCTTGATACAAACAAGTTAATGTACCGGTTACGTAAAACTAAATGAAAAATTTTCTACATTATGAGATTTTTTTGTTCAAAATGGCGATGCTTAAATGGTTTGGTTTTGTTTAACAATATATTTTTTTGAACTTGGTAAGAACCTCCGTCTCAACTCTTTCTGCGAAGTTTATTTAGTATTAACTAACTTTTTTGCACCGCTTTGATTAATCACCAGGGAGTTTGTAAGACGGAAATATAATTTAATAGCAAATATCTTTGCTATTTCTTTTTTTGCTTGATACAAACAAGTTAATGTGCCGGTTACGTAAAACTAAATGAAAAATTTTCTACATTTGAGATTTTTTCGTTCAAAATGGCGAGGCTTAAACGGTTTGGGTTTGATTAACAATATCTTTTATTGAACTTGGTAAGAACCTCCGTTTCAGTTATTTCTGCGAAGTTTATTTAGTATTAACTAACTTTTTTGCACCTCTTTGATTATTCACCAGGGCGTTTGTAAGGCGGAAATATCATTTAATAGTATATATCTTTGCTATTTCTTTTTTTTGCTTGATACAAACAAGTTAATGTACCGGTTACGTAAAACTAAATGAAAAATTTTCTACATTATGAGATTTTTTCGTTCAAAATGGCGATGATTAAATGGTTTGGTTTTGTTTAACAATATCTTTTTTTGAACTTGGTAAGAACCTCCGTCTCAACTCTTTCTGCGAAGTCTATTTAGTATTAACTAACTTTTTTGCACCGCTTTGATTAATCAGCAGGGCGTTTGTAAGGCGGAAATATCATTTAATACCAAATATCTTTGCTATTTCTTTTTTTGCTTGATACAAACAAGTTAATGTGCCGGTTATGTAAAACTAAACGAAAAATTTTCTAAATTTGAGATTTTTTCGTTCAAAATGGCGAGGCTTAAATGCTTTGGTTTTGTTTAACAATATCTTTATTGAACTTGGTAAGAACCTACACGTCCGATGAAAGTTTGAAAATACCTCCGACACTGTTACTCTGTTTCTACTTTTTGTTTTTTATTTTTCATCAATTCAAAATTTTAATTTAAGTTGAGAAATTGATCATTCATTAAAAACTTCTTATCTTTGAACAGTTTTTTTTTGGTTTTTAAAATATTCGAAAAAAAGCAATTTTTTCCGTTTTTTACTCCTTATTCTTTTGCGTAGTTCTATATAGTCAAATCTGTTGTATGAATTGCTAAAAGGCTAGAAAACGGCATGAGTGTGCTTGTTCTTGAAGTTTTTGAGACGTATTTTACTGTCATTTTTATTAACATTCGCATGTTGACTCGCATCAAAACTGTCATTTATTTTTTTTGCTAGTGAAGCAAAGATCCGCTTCGCTTGGTTAAATTTATTTTTGTTAATATAAATTATTTTGTTAATGTTTAATCTAATCACTTGAATTAACTGTATCATTCACTGGAAATATTTTTTGGTTTGTCTGCGTTTTAATTTCGTATTTATGTTGGTTGTAAACCAGCTCATTATTTCCGAATTTTTTGGCTGAAGACTTTTATTCGGTTTAAAAGGTATCGGCTGATCTTATATCGGCTTGGTCGCCTGGTATTGCGTCGTTTGAAGAGAATTGAAAATCTTTCGTTCGTTTTTGTGCGGGAATAGCTATGTGAAATTTATCAAGTAGCTGTACCTAGATTTTTGATTATGAGTTTCTGTTTCAACTTCCTAGATTTTCGAAAAAAAACTTGAAAAAACTAATTAATGGCCATAGTATGGAATTTTGTGATCTCTATTTGTTTCAAGAATGATCAACTAGTTTTAATGCTGCTGTGTTCATTTTTTTTAAAGTTTCATTTTCTGTCGCAATTAGAAAGAATGGGCGAAAGCCAACTGATCTTGCGCTTAAAAAGAAGAACGCTGATTGCCAAATTTTTTAATTCAGCTTTAAGCAACTGCAGAGTTCCCTACGTCACTCTTACACTACTCTTTGCTCTGTATGATTGATAACATTTTTTGTTCTCGATATAAAGCTTTTTTCCCTTATTTTTAGTTTTCTATGAACGTAGTGAAAACAAAAATAGGTCGTGGTCGTGTTCACTTATTTCTTGTTGTTTTCACAAAAAAATTCAAAAGTTGCTCACGCACATCTTTGATTTTCTGCGGTTTGACTGGAGTTTCTTAAGGTTCAATTCGAGTTCATTTGCTACAAGAAGGAATTGTAAGCTCTCGATTATTAAAGTTCAAATGGCGTAAATAAAGCACGATTGACTGTTTCAAAATTGGATTATAATTTTCCCAATTCCCTTTGATATAAAAACAATAATTGATCCTGTTTTCTGAATTTTGGTTATTATTATATGAAAAAATGTTGACCAGGAAATTTTTTTTCCAAAGCTCGCATACTTTTTTTGCGGTCGGTTTTTCTTCTATCGGCTAAGTTTGCATTCCAGCTCAGCTTTTGGCTGGAATCATCTCAATATGATTATATTTCTCGACTTCATCTGAATTTTTAGTTTATGGCATCTGATTTTTGATGGTCTGATTAATCAACGTTGCAGTTAATCATGTTGCAGTATAATTACCTAATGCAAAGACTGATATCTGCTTGCTGTGAAACAGTTACATAAACAAGTATAGAATACTTCAATCAAATATGTTGTTGTAGTTTATTTTGAGGTTCAAAAATTGTCTAAAATTTATTGTTTTGGAGCATTTTCATAACGTTTGCCCATTTTCTTTTTGTATAATTTTCTCTATTGCCGAATTTTTTTCATATTCATAAAGCAATTGTAAAAATGTTTGTGTTCTTAAGGAAACTGAAAAAAAAACAACTGTTTTTTCTGAAAACGTTCTAAGTGGAAGTTTCTCGGAAAAAATTGCCTGGCCTTAATGCATTTCGAGTTTTACTGAAAAAAATTGTATCCTGAGAATAAATTTTTTCGGAGCTTGAACAAAGTTGAAAATTTACGTGCAAATAAAATAAAAACAAAAACCTTCCGGCATAAATCAGTGAGTTTTTACTTCGTTCATTACCATTCAATTTCATTTGCGAGAGTAAGTGTATTTGTAATCAGCAATAAGATTTTTTTTCGTTAACATATATTTTTTTAAACAAAAATAGACTTCGTGTTAATATGTAACATCAACATCTTTCAGGCCCCTTCTCTACTGACGTAGAGGTAAAACACAAGCCTTGCGAAGAGTACGTGTGATTTTCGAGTCCCGACCGGATCTTTTTTTTTTCTAGATATGGAAATTGAATATTTTCGTGAGGAATGTTCGCGAAATATCGCTTGTGAACTTATTTTTTTGTCAGTCTCATTTCCACAGCATAATTTATCTTCGAAGCATCATTCTGCTTTTCATTTCAGCAATTGAAACTGGTTCAAAATCGTTCTGTATTTTTTAAGCTTACGAACTCTGATTCTGTTTTATTATTTCTCGTTTGTTTTTTTTTCTCGTAAATGGGAAAGGCTTATGCTCTATTGACATGGTTACCTCATTTTGCGTCTTTGAAGGGCAAAAGTAGACTGTTATTCCATTGTGTTTTAGAAGGAAAGACGCGTTAAACTTTTACAATTCAAAATTTCCGACGAAACCATTGTTTTCGGCTCAACTGGCGTCTACAAGTATTGTCAGCTTAGTTATTATTCGGTAAATGAATATTAAAGTCGTTTTAACGGTGCTGCTTATGCTTTTTGATTGACGAATGTTCCCAAATTGACTATCATTTGGGCCAAATGAAATGAAGTTTTTTTGTAGTTTTTTTTCGAATTGAAAAGAGTTTTTGTCTAATTTTACGATTCGGAGCCCAAAAGTCTATGTTTTATCATATGGACTCTGTTCAAGAGCTCCACTTCGTACTGTGTTAACCCTGTGAAAAAATGTCAAGTCTTAAGGTAGGGTCGTTTTATTTGCAAATTGTATCTTCTCCCCGACTTCAATGTAGCAAGCGCCGTTCGGTTGCTCGATTTTCCTTAAATCTATTATTTATTTAACTGCGGGCTTCACTATCTTGCCATGTTTAAGTTTTTTCAACGTATTATTTTTGCATGTTTAAGCTATATCGTATATTGCAATGGTTAAGGTTTTTTTCGATTTTGCTGTTTAAATTCAGTGTTTATTTCATCAAATTTGAAATTAGCAACCCAATAGTTGGATATTGTCAGAGTTTTGCCAGGTTTTGCGATTCTGGTCTCCATATTTGAATAACCAAATCCTTTTAGTTTACGAGATAGGCAATTTTCGAGATTTTTCAAAAGTTTCTAGAAAATTTAATTAAAAAAAAATTTCTCAATTTTTGAATTTCTTACCCTGTAGTTGGATGCTGTCAGGATACTCTCAGGCGTTGCGAATCTGGCCTCCAATTTTCATTTCTCAAATCTCTGTAGTTTTCGAGATATGACGTTTTTATGATTTTTCAAAAAATTTTCAAAAACTTAGATTTTAAAAATTTCCAAAACGTTGAAGATGTCAATGCTGTTGTTGGATATTGTGAGGGTACCCTCAAGGGTTGCGAGTCTTGCCTCTGATTATGGCTGCTTAAGTCCTTGGAGTTTTGGAGATATGACGATTTTTATGATTTTCTCCGAAATTTTCAAAAAACTTGAATGTTAAAAAATTCCAAATTTTTGAACATCTCAATCCTTCAGAAAACTCAAATTACAAAATATTTCGTTAAAGTGAAATTACCAACCATGTAGTTGTGTACTTTCAAAGATTGCGAATATTGCCATCAAAAAAGACTACTCAAGTTTTGATAGTTTTCGAGATGTGAATACCTTTTTTTTTAGAAAACTTAAGGTAAGGTTTTTCAAAATTTGAATTTCTCAACGTTGTAGTGGGCTACTGTAAGAGTACTGTCAGGAGTTGCTAATCTTGCGTCCAAGTGCGACTGCTCAATTGCTTTCAGTTTCCCAGATGTGACGTTTCTTTGTTCGTTTTAAATTATTCTAAGAACTTATATAAAACTTCACAAAATTTTATGGTTCTACAAAATTTGTATAAAAAACTTGAATAAAAACCTCTGCAAAATTTGTAATTACGAATCCTGTAATTGGGTGCTGTCAGAGTTGTTGAAAATTCGAAGCACCGGAGGTACTTTACACGCTGTACTTTTTAAGGACACCCATTTTGGACCGATCAACGTAATTTTTTTTTCTATTTTGCTCTTAGGTTCTGTTTTGAGTTTCAGAAAGAGCACAGAAAATGTGTCTGATTGGAATATATGTGTGTATATTGGGATTTTTGTGAAGATTCATGAATTTCTTGTTTTACAAAGGCATTTTAATTTTTTAATTGATACAATGAATTGGGTTTCAAGAACTTAGGCGGAATTTTCCAATAGTGATTACTACAAAAAGTGTGACTATTTTTTTTCTCGTAAATTATTTGATAAATTTTCGCGTAATCACTAAGAATCGATGAATAGGGCTTTTATCTTTTAGCTAATTGTAAGTTCTTTTTAAAATTAAAGTGGTTCTTTTTTGAGCCCTAAAACGTGTAGCTCTTCATTTCGTGTTGTGTCGAAAAGTTGACCTGGAACTTTGCAATTATAACAATCAAGTTCGTGTTTACATCACATGTTTGCGTCACAAGAATGAAAAAATAATATAATTTTATGTACATATTCACACTATCATTGCACTGATTTTTACAATGTAAATTGAATGTTGTTTACTAAATAAGATTAAATTGCACGAGATGATTGAAGAAATCGAACATGATTTCATTTAAACCTCCAAATTGTTTTTTTTAGCATTTGAATGGTAAATTTGATGAAGAAAATAAGTGATGAGCAGCCACACGCTTTTTGAAATAGTGAATTTGACGAATACTTCGACAGAAAGTTCTACAGTGATAGAGCTATTGAAAGACTTAAAGCATAGGACCAAGTTAACATCTTCCCCTTCCCCCCCCCCCCAAAAAAAATGTTTGGGGGGAGGATGCGGGCTGTTAACTTGGTTCTAAGTTAGGAATTTTCAGCCAATCAGAATCAAGCATTTTACATGCAGCGCTTAGCACAATTAATGTGAATTAAATGCTGGGGTGGAGTTCTTGACTTGATACAAAGCATTTTTCAAAATAAACAGATTTTTCAGGGAATAATTCTTAAAATAAAAATATAGCATTTCAAAATTTTAGTTTTTTGGTTTAATTTTAATAAGTTGCTCTGTTTGTAATTTCAATGACACCATATACAGTTAAATGTTATCCTTGTTTTGCACACGCAGATTCTTCTCAATTTGTTCACGCAGACTTGTTCACGCTCAATTTGTTCACGCTCAATTTGTACACGCGGAGTTAGATGTTTATTTTTGAGTGAACTAGTCATCAATCATCCAGCTGGCAAAGGAGTGCCACGCCCCTGTTGATCCAATGCACGTGTGACTTATCAGTGGGCAATTCTGCCGCCAGTACGAAGTTGGTGCTGTGTCCTGTGGTCGAAAGTTCTCCCTTGCGTAAGCCGGTCTTGTAGATGGGGCATTTGTAGATATACTGTGAGGAGCTGCTTGCATCCTCGTTCATTCGGGGAATCACCCACATCTATTAACAAGATATAATTAATTAATTGTCATTTCTTCGGTTCGCATAGGATCTATGAAAGAAAGGCCATCCAGCCTGTCTAAGCATAGTCCGTTTTTCTTATTTTTTCATATACGACACCATGAACAAATAAATTTTCATAAACATTCATAAATTTTAATTCATCTAATTCATTAATCATGAATAATCAAACTGTCAAAAACAAAATTTACAATTTGCAGTTAGGCTTGAGATTGGAGAGTCACAAAGCCAAAGAGAGTCTTGTTGAAGGCTTACCCATAAAATAGTAAAATTCAATGACAGCACTTCAATTCAAAAAGTTAATTGAAATATAGATGAATCAAGAGGAATTTTCAAATGAAAAAAAAATAAGATATAACGCGATCAATTTCAATTTATTCATTTTCAATTTATTTATTCCTTTCAAAGTCAAACCAACAGATTGGAGAGGTGACGCGATCACATGCTTATTAAAGCCTAAAATAAGAACTTGGTGCAAAATGATTTAACTAATTACCATGAGAGAAACAAGTTTGTCCAGCTCTTTCAAGCAGGTAATCCGGTTGTCATTTTTTCAACTTACCTTCCTTGACTCCATTAATTTTTTAATGTCATTTTCAGGTTTTTTGTAGCCATTCAAAAATTATAAAATGCAAAGTTTTGAAAATACATAGGCGCAAAAAATTTAAATTCCTAAATAGCCATTTTCAATATTTCGAAGCTACGGTCGAAGCATTGACTGTAATTGATGAGAAAAGCTACGGATTTTCACATATCTAAATTGTGTATTTATTTTGTAAAAAGTCTTGAAACTTGTTGTTCCGATTATTGAAAATGGGGAGGAGCTCTAAACTTCAGGCGCATTCCCTTTTTTCACGCAAAATCAGGTACCCTAAAAAATCACCTGAATGAATCATGTAATAAACCATCTTAAGCAATTTAGTCGAAAGTTTTCTTCTATAGTCTGAATCACGACTAAATATCTTAAAATAGTTTACTACATAATTCATTCATGTGATTTTTTAGGGTACCCGATTTTGCGTGAAAAACAACACACCTGAAGTTAAAGCTCCTACTCATTTTCAATGATCGGAACAAGATTTTTCACAAAAATAATAACACAATTCAGATGTGTCTTAGTTTTTAACTAGATTTCCATAGCTTTTGTTATCAATTATAGTGAATGCTTCGACCGTAACTTTGAATAATGGAAAATGGCTATTTAGGAATTCAATTTTTTTTCGATGCGTATTTTCAAATATTCTGCATTTTGCAAATCGTAATTTTGAATTCAAAAAACTTGAAAACAATATTAAAACATTAATGACGCAAGGAAGGACTCAACTATATTTACACAAGCAAAGCCTGTGTGATACTATGACCTCTTTTTTCCAACCTAAGTCGCAAAGTGTTCTTCAATTGCAGTATGTGCATAGACCATTAACCAGCTATTAAGTACAGTCAATGTTAAGCATATTAACACGGACTATAATATTACAAATTGCACTTTAGCCTCAAGGTATCATTAATCTGTAGCGTAGAGGTAGAAGAGACCCGAAACAAAATAAGAGGGCTGAAACCCGGGCAGGCTGGGATAATTTTAATGAAATTTTTTGTATATTAGTTAACATGCGTCCGCTCTATAAATTGGGGCATATTAGTAGGTAAATTTTTTTTCGGTACTGCTAATGCGTCATAATTGGCTGGCGTCACTCAGGAATTATACAGACTCACAGTTGGCGTGTGTCACTTAAGAAATTATCCAGACTCCAAGTTTTACTCATTCAGTTTTTTCCAGTAGCGTTTTTGGTCATATATTTGCTTGTGTATGCGAAGTGCAACTTCGCCTCTGTGAACTATATTAACGGAAAATTAAATTAAAAAACTTTCAAAAAGTTTTCGCTGCGTCCAGAAAAACCGGTCTAAAATTTTTCAGGTTTAGACCGTACGAGTCGGTAGGTCTCAATATGATAGGCTTATATTAGTCTAATTTTTATAATTCGAGTTAAGCCGTGAAAATTTAGTTTTACACCAGTAAAATTAGTTTTACGAAGTTTTATTGCACCGTCAGAAATATTATTTTTCGATAGTTTAAACTTTCACGGCATAACTTGAATGATAAGAATTAGGCTAATGTAAGATTATCATATTGAGACCTAACGACTCGCTCACTTTACTAAAACTCAAAAATTAAAAAAAGGCCTTTAGTTGAAATCTTTTCATCACACCGCGAATAAAATCGACGCAATTTGAAGTAGTGTTTGAATAAAACAACGACACCATGTAGTCGGAAAAATCAGGGCTATTTGTACAGCAACCGACTATCCTTGTTCGTTTTCTATTTGGTTGTTGAATTTTTGACCTTTGTGATACCCAGAAGGGGAAATTGAGCAAAAACAGCGCTTAACTTTTAGAATTCTCAGTGGAGCTAAAAATTTTTGATCCAGTTTTTATCAAACTGTGTTGGTTTTATCGATTTTTTTTGAGATACTACGTTTTACCCGATGCTTTTGCAACCATCTGTTGGGTATTTTTGATCTTACCACTGGCATTTTGACGTAGAGTTCTTTGGGCGTAGACTCGGTTAGCACCCACTTCTCGTGATCCCATGCCGCACCCTCCAGAAACAAACCCGAGACGTAAACTCCTTTTGACTAAAACCAACATTCACTTAATGAAGAGGGACCTACTTAACAATGCCCTAGTTGACAATCATTCAAGAAAAGGATGGAGATTGTAAAGTAGATGAGGTGCTCGAGTTTTCGACCAAACAGAATGCAGCAAAATTAGAATTCTCAATACAAGCTCTAGTGCTAAATTTAGTATATTTATTTATAGGAGTGGAGATTCTAGGGGTGGAGATAATTTAATTTTATGGGGTGGTGGTTTGGTAAATACCATGGGGGGAGAGATTATAGTAGATGGAGTAGCGAGTTTAGGGGGGGTAGCGAATCTCCCCGTTCGTATTTTTTTAAAACCTCCATTTTTGGATGGTCGACCCTAAAATTTTTACTTACTCGCCTTACTCTCCAATACATTCTAATTTTACTCTCCATTACATTCTAATTTTCAGTAGGAAGCGCGCTCAGAAAAAAAACATAATTTTTTGGTAAAAACTTTCCACAAAGCACCAAAACGCGTTTTTGGCCATTTTTCCAAAACTTGCTTGCACCATAGAAAACTTGGTTGAAATTGGGTCTTATAGTTATTTGGAAGAGCTCGGAAAATGAATTTGGTCGACTTAAAAAAAAGAAAGAAAAAATTGAGCAGATCCATAAAGTGCTTCCATGTGCTAATGAAGGAATTTGACTTTTTTCTAATAGTTCAACTGCTGTGGTTTGTTATTGTTCCCACCACTGAAAAAGGAACGGTCTAAGACCTCAGATGTGATTTCCCAAGCAAAATCAGTTATCTAAAAACAGTGCAGATGAAGTCCCATGAGATATCTTAAAGCTCTTTCATTCGTGATTCAATTGATATTTCTAAAAGGAGGCTCGGTGGCAAAAAAATTTAGTTTAAAAATTTTGCCGCGTAGGAAAATTTAGAACAAAAAATCTTTCTTCTATCATTCGTATTGCTTCGATCTGATTTGCCTAAATTTTGGGTTCTTCTACTGACCGGGCGTTTTTCCATCTGGTTTGCCTAATTTTTGGGTTCTACTACTGACCGGGCGTGCTTCGATCTGGTTCTCGCTCCTCTCAATGACCTCGTAGTTGAATCCCAGATGGTCGATTGGGATCTTGTGGGCCCTGGCGTAGTTTTGCAGAGCACCCGTGAAGAAAGACTGGGTGAAAAAGAAACCCGACAGCCAGAACACGTTGGGCTGGCCCTGCTTGCTCCACGTCTGAAATTAGCAAAAACGGATCATGGCCTTGAACATTTGAGATTGCGAAACTTTTTAGTTAGTTCGAAGTGCTAAGAAAGTCACCATTATTTTGGTGATCCATAAAATCTGAGCGCTTTCAAATGAGAAATTGACTTATCTGTGTATAAATTGAATGCCCTCCGTTTAAATAAGGTTTTATTTACGCACATTTGACAAAGGTTTCGTTTAATTTTACGAAAATTTTGTGATAAAATTTTCGGAAGTTTAGAGAAACTTTTGCCGAATGTGCGGAAATGAAATGTTATTTGTACGGACGTCATTTAAATTTTACCCAGATAGGTAAATTTTCCGTTTCAAAGCGCTCAGATTTTATGCTATAATATAATTGTGACTTTCCTATCACTTCGAACTAACTGAACAAATTGTCACTTGGCACACCAGTCGCTTAGCATACTCCGTTTTCTTCTAAAAAAAATTAAAACGCATAGCTTTGCAAACTATTATCAGGGTTGTGAATAATATACTGCTTTGAAATAAATTATCCACAACCTCTTTAGCCACACTTAGTCATTTAAATTATTTTTTCAAGCATGAAAATGCCAGATATCTTTGTATTCAGGTGTGTTTTTGTTTTTTCTTTTTTTTTGCATTTTTTAATTTTTTTTGTTTTCCACGCAAAATCAGGTACCACAAATGTTTCATTGGAATGAGTCAAATGATATATCATTTTAAAGCTCTTTCATTTGTGATTCGAACATTTTTTAATAGTTTTTCCCTGTGTTTGAAAACTTTTTCAAACAGGTTTGAAACTTTTGAGTTTTGTCTAATTTTGAGTAAGTAAAGCAATCGAGTAAAGTACGTTATAAAAAGTGACTACTTACGAGAAAAAACATGTTCTTTTTCAAAGGAAAACTTCATAAAGCGCAAAAAGTTTATAAAGTGCAAAAAATTTGGAAACAGTGTAGAAACTTTGTTCGACTTTTTTAAAATTTTGTTTCTCAATTCCGATGACTACTGTATTCGATTACGCCCAAATATGGAATCTTTTACACGTTTGTCTAATTCTACCAGCAAACGACGCACAAGAAACGACACTAATATGAAAAAAAAAATGGTTGGAACATTCTGTGCCAATTAAAGGCTATCCTTATTTTATACAAATATATTTTTACGTGAGATGTAAAAAACGTGATCTTGTAGACTTGAGCCCATCATTGAAGGTTTTTAGACGGACTGGAAATAGTTATTGTCAAATACTGTCGTCAAAGCTGGTTAGCTGTACATCTTTTTTCTTTTTTAAGTGAAATATTTTTAAAACAAAATCTCGGTGTACACTGCAGCTGTAAATATTAAATTTCCTTTTTGTCGTTTGAAACTGATTTTTTTTTGAATAAGACCTAGTTCTTTTTTCGTATTTTTATTTCGGACATGAATTTTGTGTCATATATTTTTGCATCGCAAGTCGTGCGAAGCTCCGCTACGCCTCTGTGTCCTATTTTTTTTTGTTGTTTTTGGTGTGTTTTTTTTAATTCGGCTGTGGAGGTTGCTGTTTTAGTTACTTTTTTAACTTGCATTTTCCATATACGCCTAGTCAATAATTCAACAAAATAGTATTTTCTTTGACACTTGGAGCCAACTTACATAATTGCAGTCCCAATCTTTCAAGCAGGCCATGTCGCTTAAATATACCAGTCGCTTAAGATTCTCCATTTTGTTTTCAAACAAAATATTGCCTAGCACTCTATTTTTTCAAAAAATATCACTGTTGCTTTTTTTCATTTCATATAGTGTTTATTACCTGGCAAAATAATTTATTCGGCATATTGGAAAATTGTTTTGCTATTTGCATTACAGTTAGTTTTTTAAACTAGCCAGCTTGCGAGCGTTAGTGTATTAGTACGAACCTTCTTTTTTTTCTAACTCAACTCCCAAATAAAAGTATTCAGTGAAAGTGTCCACTTGTATGAAAATTTCTCTGTAGTATTGGAAATTGCGTAGCATCTGTTCTCTGCTTTATTTGTGGCTAGTGTTCGCTATAAATTAAACGTCCGTGGTAAACGTTAGTGCATGAGACGTGTATGTCTAGGTTGCAGTAGGTTGTAGGTTTAAATCCGAGACGTAGATGAATTTATTTTTGCTTAAGATACTAATGTTTTTATATTATAATCAGAGAGCGGACAAAAAGTACAATTTTAGTTGTTAAAAAAGTTTTTTGGTGGCCAATAAAGTACTGAAATCTTCAATTTTTGTCGTATAAACGCATGACCCAACATTTTATCACATCATTCACAAGTATTTTTGGAATCACGCAGTTTTTTTAAATTGTTTTTTTCAGGATAAATTGAGGCAAAATAATAAGTTTTTGTTGGCTTTCTTTTACCTAATGAAATGCGAAAAGTAAAAAAATACCTTTTCTCGCTCCCTGATTATTTTGCTATGATAGAAAGCTAGGTGTTTGCTAGGTGATTTGCTTTTAGACAGATTCCAGCATGCTAAGCGACATATGTTCGATAGAAAAAATGACTATGCTTACGGACTGGTATGTTAAGAGGCCCGCTCCTTTTTCAAGTAGATTTGTAAAACGAGCAAATCTAAAGCTCAGGACATAGTTAACTTTTCTTGTCTCACTGAAACCAGTTAAGAATAATGAAGTGACTGCGAATATATATGAATGTTGGCCCACTTTGTTGTTGTGCATGTTTTTTTGTGAGATGTCACTGTAAAGGTGTTTTTTTTCGCTGATAACAGAAAAATTATTTAATTTCTCTTTTTTTTCTGGATTGCTTTTTTTTCGTGTGAATTACCTTGAAGAACTCTATTCGGTGTATTAGATCTATAATGTAGCTGGCCAGTGGTTTCGTGGAGGGGTAGCTCTTCTCCTTCCACATCAGGGGAACCCTCCCGATCAGCACCGAGTTAAATACCTCTTCTATTGCCGCACTCTGAACCACATAGCCTGCAAAACAGCGAGACGAAAAGAGTGTGAAAAAATCAGCCAAAGTATAAACGAACCGGAAATGCACAGAGTGTACAGAGCCCGCCGAAAAGTTACATCATAATTGTTACATAACTATTTTCGGCTGGTTTATATACCACCTGACCAAAAGTGTAACGAAAGTACAAGTATGATAGCTGATAAGATCTCTATAAAATTTAAATAAGTGCCCGAAGATTTTTTTGCTGAAAGTTTTCCAAAACAGGGCGAGCTTTTGTTTAACTGTTTTTTGAAATTATCTTAAGAATCGCTGGATCCATCTTTCATACTTGCTTTTTTCAGGGTCTCAACTGTCATTCTTGTTTTTAAATGAATGTCAATCAAATCCAAGGTCGTTAATAGGTCTGCTAGCTTTAGCTCTGAGTGAAACGGCAAAAACCTGATTAAAGCACTTTTTGAACAAATAGCGTAATATGAATATTTGTATTCCTTCAAAAAATTCAATCCTAGGAGAGATCGCAAAATGTACCCGGGTTGACCAAAACTTCTTATCATACAATTTCCATATATGAGAAACTTCTTGTCATACAATTTCATACAATTCCATACGTACAGAAAATTGTATGAAAACTCTATGGCAAGCATTTTTCCATCGAAAAATGTTTGTTTGCGTACGAAAATCGATTTGCGGTTGAAAAAAAAACAAAAAATTTTTGGGCCAAATTTTCAAAATTACTTTCAAAAAAATGCCTGTCATACAATTTCCATATATGGGAATTGTATGATAAGCATTTTTTTCAATAAACGAAAAACTCAGTTTTTTATCACCAGATTGTTTTATTAGAATCAAACAGCCACAGAAAAGAGTTTATACCAGTTTTCAACCATTTTTAGAAATTGTATGAAAATTGTATGGCAAGCATTTTCCCACACACTTGATGTATGGAATTGTATGATAAACATTTTCGGTGTATGGAGGTCAACCCGGGTATGGACAAAACACCCGTGATTTATAGGCTATTCATTATCCACGAAAACCGCGAAGGTTAATTTTTGAAAAACTTTCAAATGATTATTGGTGACATTTTCAAAACAGGTCAGTAAATATAGCCAGGTAAAGTTGAACGCAAAGACCGGATTGCTGTCTGAAAAAACATGAAGAGTTAAACTGACGTCTGTAAAAATAGTGGAGGATAAGTGAACTGACCGAGTATTGCTTTTTCCATCTCCTGTAAACTGCTTTTGATCACAGCGATGAGTCTGTTGTAGCGAGTGAGCTCCTGCAGTAGTACTGTGTTCATAGACTCATCATACTGCACCGGGAACTTGAACTGCAAAAATCAGCCAATCAGATTTGAGCACAGGCCTTGCAGGCCTTACGGACTTGAATTTCAGCCAATCAGATTTCAGCATAGTACATGCAGGCCTTAAGAACTTGAACTTACCATTTACTTTTTTTATACATGGGCCGAACGCTCCCTTCACACGTCACTACTATTCATATAATGGCAAATAGGTGATATGTCTTTTTTGGCCAACGAATCTGAACGAAGTTAATTAACCCAAAACTACTCCTCTGAAAGTCGTCGACAATCAATTTTTTAATCATTTCAACTCGCAAAAAAACAGTGTTAGAATCAGGGGCGGATCTAGGATTTTCTCGAGGGGGGGGGGGGGGCGGATTTTCAAAAAATTTTCCAAAATTTTGACGACCTTTTTTTTTTAGGTCGACCAAATTGATTTTTTGAGCTCTCCCAAAGCACTGTTTTGCCCCTATTTTGGCAAAACTTTCTGCGCCGCAGGAAAATTTTTTGAAAAAATCAGTAAAAAAGGCGTTTTTAGGCACATTTTGGAAAATTTTGACCAAAAAAATTGCGTTTTTTCGGCGCGCGCTCCCCCCTCAAAATTAGTAAATATTGGCGCCAAAGGCGCTTTTAGAAAAATTTTAGGGTCGGTCGGCCAAAAATGGTTTTCTTAAAAAGTACCAAAGGGGGGACCCTTTGGGTCGGCAGGGTGTCTAAATCCGCCCCTGGGTAGAATCTAATTCAACTGAAAACGTTTTTTTTTGGCGGATCTCTAACTATATCCCCCCTCATTTTGCAAAAGGGGGGATATTCATCACTAGGTATAAAATTTTCATATGCTTAGCCGTTGATTTATTTCTTTATAGGGGGTGTATTCGCTGCTAGGTACTCTAGGGGGGAATAGTTAAAAAGATCCTTTTTGGCTAATTAAGCAGTTTCGATACGGTCTACCCAATCATCAGCATCATGTTTAACTTCAGCATTCAGCTTCAGAAATAAAGAAAGATTCAGCGACTCGGGTATTTGAACCCGCGACCTTATGCGCTTAAAACATACGTTGTAGATGTTACTTACTGCGACTTCCTCGACTTTGAAGGGGACGGGCAGTTTGCCCAGAATGTCCTTCGTCAGAATCAGGGCATTCTCAGTACTCCCGATTGGACTCACATTGCCCTGTAAAAAAAAACAAATAATTCAAACCTTAATATCAAAATTATAATTTTTGGGTTGCTTTGAAGACGCCTGATCAATTGAATGAGAAACAACAAAGATTTCCAACAAAATCAATAGTGCAAGTTGTTGGGGACCATTCTGTGCTGGGGAATTATAACCGATGTATAAACCTTTGCAACCTATTGAATATTTCTCAAAAAAATATTTTTCATATTAATAAAATATTAACACAAACTTGAAAATAAGAACAAACCAAGTTAAGGAAGAATGATCGCGTGCTAACTCACTTATAAAACAAAGTGCAAACTCACAAAATTGAACTTACCAAGCGGAAAAGCTATTGAGCAAAGTTATTATACATGATTGAGCTTCCCGGAGACAAATTAAAGCAAATAGACTATCAGTCAGCCAACAATGGATATGTCTAAATAGTATTAAAGGGGATCCTTTGGGTCGGCAGGGGGTCAAATCCTTGAGAAGTGGGGGCGTCCCCATCCCCCCCCCTAAACCCGCTGTTGCAAATAGATGTAAGATAGTTTATGAAGATTCTTTGCCTGAAGAGCCAGCCACTTTCTTTTAAACTTTAAAGACTTCTCATGAAGGTGCTTGAATATGGTCGCGTGAGTATGTAAGTGCATTGGCGCCATAGTGATAGAAACAGTGTTTCAACTTCAGTACGGTGGCATCCTTTGAATTAAAATCAAAATGAACCGCTCGCTCGCTCGCTTGTTTAGTAAATTTTAAGTTAATATACGAACCCCACCCTTTGAATTGAATAGAAATTGATTAAAAGGTTTGTAGAAAATGGATGAGATTTTTTCAAGAAAAACCCGAGATTAGTTAGTGGTAACATGCTAGCTTTTACTTGTTTCAGTTCAGCAAATTGTGGTTAAAAATTTTGTAGCATAGAAAAAAATCAATATTTCCTCTGCATTGGGTTTTCCGGGCGTATAATTATGATTGTTCCAAGGATTGCTCCTCCAAGGACCCAAAGGAAGTTCCAGCGGGACCGGGCGGGGTATCATCCTAAAGCCTTCAATTTGCAATTCCAAAAATATACTCCGGAAAATCCAATACAGAGAAAAACCGATTGCTTTCTTCCGGAGACTAATTTAGGGTGGAATGAAAACAAAGAACGTTTTTTTTTCATAGATTTTTTTTGTTATTTTTTTGGTTAATTGGTTATGTTTCAGAAGCTGAGGTTACTGCAAGTAGGTCAGAGTGTTGCCTTCTTGCAGCCTGAGTAGCAGTAACCTTAAATCTTTTTGAGCATATTTGAATATTTGATTAATAGTTCCGGCACCTTCACGAAGTAACTAGAAGGAACTATGGCGTAGAGTAAACAATTATTATGAATAAATTGTTTTTAAGCTAGTACTTCAGTAGTGCTTGTTATAAACAGCATTTAAAACCATTAAACATTAGCCTGTGAGATAGTAATGAGACCTTCCGGTCCGTTTTCAGACTTCTCCGAGCAGAAAACAAAATAAATTGTTTTCATAATAACCTTCGACTTTCATCGGTATCGACCAGAACGCAAAAATTTAAACAAGTACGAGCTTTCGTTGACAAACAAAGAGTAAATATAAAAAAAAATCCGTTGAGATGTTATTTCAAATTTCCTAGCTGTGTATTGTGTTCAATAACTATTCATTGTTCAAAAAAAAGTTATCTAAGTGAAGGTGTTTTTTTTTCGTTTGTGGCTGTTTTAGACATTTTCTGGATAAACTCATCCCAATTTAGTCCATAGTTAAAGATATAACTGAGCATATTTCTTAACCTTATATGGAGTGAGTTTTTTGTTTCAAAATTTGCACCAGTCGTTAAATTTTTCGAGTTTTTTTTATTGTGATATTTAACTCAGGTCCTCATCAGTTACAAGGTTGCGTAAAGTATCTACTGTTTTTTTGGATTATTTTATTTAAGGTTTTAAGGTCTCATAAACGTGATAGGGTATCCTTTTTTCAACTAATTTTGAATACTTTAAGCAAAGTTTGGTGGTAGACAAGCGTGGTATCATAATAAATTCCTGCCAGCCGTAATTCGGATTCAGAAAACTAATTTTTTTAAAAACTGCCAGTCCAGGAATACTGGTGTAAATTTTTGCGTTTTGTTTCAGATAATTAGCGTGGTCAGAGCATTATGCAATACTTGCACAGCAATGGTACTTTCTGTTGTTCTCTCCACTTTACAAAATGGGAAAGAACTATGGCGTAGGGCTTTTTTACAGTCTATTGTCTCCATGATAGAAAAATTGTAGTGGTCAAGTGTCAAACAGTTCTCTCAGTGTCGAGAAAAAATCGAGCGGCCCATCTACACTCTCCTACAAAATCGAAAAAAATATTGGTCATTTTTGAATTTTTTCAATTTTTTTTAGCGTTGTCGGAACATTCTGGGATACGTGCACAGCGTGCCGCTATCCTTGTTATATTTCAATTTTTTTTTTTAATTGAAGCCATATTAGCGTTGCAATCTTAAGCTCTCTCCTCCTGCTGTCTTAGAAATCGACTTTTAAAAGCAATTTTTCCAAGGTTTGCATTAGCAGGAAGCAACTTGCATCTCTTTAACTATATCCCCCCTCGGGTACCTAGTAACGAATATCAGCCCCAATAAAGAAATAAATCAACGGTTAAGCATATCAGAATTTTAAACGGGGGGGGATATAGTTAAAGAGATCCAGCAACTTGAAGTAGTACCTCCTTGGGAAGTGTTTTAAGGACTCCCTCAAACAACTCTTTCGTCTCCCGATTGGCCTTGGCAATGTCTGCGTTTTCGTGAAGCCCGAACACTGTGGGGTCGTTTTGGATCGGCAGTTGTTTCACGTAGTCCACAAATGCAGCGTGTTCTCTCGCCTCATCTGGGATGTAGTAGCTGGCTGAGTTTGAACTGAATCGGTAGCCTGGCTCTTGGTACACCTGGAAAATTATCAAATTCTTTTGCGCCCTAGGCAAAAAACCAAAAAAAAATCGAGCTGTCAACTGCTTAGAATGAACTGCTTTATGGAACATTCTAGAACATTCTAGGAAAATTCTAGAAGAACCTTGTGGTTGTAGAAGATAGTGAGGAGGCTGTTGATGAGCACTCGGTCTCTCTCGTCTGTGACTCTGCCTCCGTAGTTGCACTCTCCCACCAGGTACAAAAGAGCATCTATCGGGATCTTCTCGTAGTCATTCAGAAACATCTAGAACATTCTTCAATTCAGAAACATCTAGAACATTCTACAATTCAGTACGCTAACAATCACCAGAACACATATTAATTTTCCACTCTAACCCTCTACTAATATACTAAACGCTTCAAAAATTTGACTTACGATAAAGTTTATTCTGTTTTTTTTTATCAATCGGCGTTGTCAGAGTTGATCAAAACATTCTGATATACTTTATTGATCAGACATAATTTAATCATAATAGTTTTCCAGAAAAATTGCATAGTTGGGAAACTGAATCTCGTTAACTACCCCCCCTAGGGTACCTTGTACCCGGGTCGAGGTTTGCAATTTCTGTTTCGACCGACTCGGCCAAAAAATGGTATGTTTCGACCGTTTCGACTCAGGCTCGATTTGTCTCGACCGACTCGACCCAAGCTGCCTATGTTTCGACTATGTTCGACCGAGGAAAAACGTTTCGACCGAGTTCGACCGAAGAGTGTTTTCAACCGAGAAATCACAGTTCGACTTTATGTTTCGACCGACTCCTATTTTATGTTTCGACTTTGAGTTCGACTATAGGGCCTTCTCGACTATTAATTTTCGGTCGAACTCTGACATGTATTCGACCCGCCTCTACCCGGGTAACGAATTGCCTTCCCTATTAAGAAATAACTCAAAGATTAAGCATATGTAAGTTTTGTACCCAGTCACGAATCTCCCCTCTCTGCAAAAAAGGGGGGGTATTTAAAGAGATTCGAGAACCTTATATGGCGCTTTCCACCAAAGATCGTTCTGAGGCAGCACTCACAAACCACTTTCTGTTGTTTTTTTTTCGGTCTCCTTTGCCCATTACATAACTTATAATCGTAACGATAAAAAGAGAAAAAAATACCTGCAGCTGTCTGACACTGATGATAAGGTCTGACTCATTGAACATGTAGGATATGTTCCATCCAAGGGGTCCGAAGTCCCGCCTCTCCTGCACCAGTGCGTGGAAGAAGGTCAGGCTGAACAGCAGTCGCTGCCATTCCTAGAGAGTGGATCACATAATAAAGCGGTTTTTTTTGTCATACAGCCCAAAATTAACAGAATTGTTTATTGAGCTTCTGATTTTATTGAAATCAGCCAGTCATTTCAACCAATCAGATTCGAGCAATATGATCATATTTTCAGAAAAAAAAAGATCGGTATTGGGCCTGTTACGTACCCTCAACCAATAACAGAAAAGACTCAATAAAGCAGTTTATAATCTTCGGAATCATGGTTTCAGAAAAACCACCAATTCAAATTATTTTTCACGTCTGAGGCTAAACCCGTAAGTAGTTTTTGTCTTAAAATTTTACCGGTAAAAAAATGTAGAACATTTTGACAGAAAATTTATTTTTAGAATCCAAAAAATACCAATTTTCAATCAATTTGGCGCCGTTGAAAAACGAACCTGCGCAAATTCATTGGCGCAGTTACTGGAAAAAAAGACAAATATTTGAAACATCAAACGCGAAAAAATGTCAAAATGACAAATAGAAACATCAGATGTGATGTTTTCTGTTTCTGGTCTCTTATCATCAGTCCAAAAACATCATTTAACCATACCCCAACCTAATAATCTAAAATTCAAATTGTATACTAACGATAACCTTTTTATTGAAGCTTTTATGCTTCAAAACTTTCGCAACTGCATTGCCTATTAATATTATCTTGGTGGTAAAATGCTCAGCACAAACAAATAACTGAACGACCAGTTCTTGGCGTCGGCTCTTTTACAAACATGTGAACCGTGGTGTAACAACAATAGTTTTTCGGGTTCGTCCATTAAGTCAGGTAAATTTAAATCAGCACCGTAAATAGACTCTGTTGAGAACAATGGGACACATGTTCACTTAAGGGATTCATTAACTAGCAGCAAAATCCCTCGGGTACCTAGCAGCAAAATCCCCCCTATAAAGAAATAAACCTATGAGAATTTTATATCTAGTAGCAAACATCACCCCCCCCCCTTTGCAAAATGGGGGATATGGTTAAAGAGATCCCACTTAAGTTTAGTTTGGTAAAACTGACAAAAGCAGGCTGTAAAAGAGCCCAAAATAGTGTGCCACTAACGATAGACTTTCTGCAGCCCCTGTAGAAGTCGGGGTTGTTGATGGGGTGGGAGAGGTATGAGCGGAGGATGTTGTTTCTCAGACCCTTCGGGGGCTCATTAGTCATCTTCACACTCGTCTGCAGAATGTACGCTGGGAACTTCTCCGAAGTGTAGCTCGTCAGCCACATCCTATCAATTGGAACCTGATCTAAACTATATTTTATGATTGGATAAATTAAATGTTTTACCAATGTAAAGTATTTAATATTAACCAATCATGATCCATCTAACTAACAACCCACTTATTTGTAAGTGCTGAAGTTACTTGTAATTTCAGCACCAGAGAGATTTGAATTTAACTTAGAAATTAGTTGGACTCTCCCGAGCACTTCAGCAGCCGCAATAAACCAGTATACCCTAGATCTATTGAGCCTAGCAGAGACTAGTTAAACAACCTGAGACTAGATAGTATAAGAGTAAGATTAGGATCGGTATTAGACTAAGAAGTTGCACGAATCTATCCGGCCGAAAATAAGATAGCGTGACGAGCAGACGGTGTACCCTATCCGAAATTACTCTATGAGTTATACACTCAAGACATAACTCATCTGGTGCGACCATAAGTCTCGAACAAGACCTTACTAGATTAGAATTAACCAAAAATAGATTAGAAATTAGACAAAAACATTTACAAAATGTTATACGACAATAATTTAATTGAAATGTCTCTCCGACTCAATAGATCAGAGCCAATATTCCGAACCATAATAGAACTACCCGGAATTGGAAGAAGACCTCGAACCAAAGACGACATACGACAAAGTAGAAACTTGCCGTATAGTTATATGATAGTTCGGCAAAAGCCAGAACAAACTTTTATATTTCGAATACTACTTGCAATGAATTTAGATTTCCATTTGCAAACATAAAACCTTGAAGTTAATCTTCAAAATCATTTCAGGCGCTAAACAAAATTAATATTATACAATAACGATTGATAAAAAGATCTAAGATCGTTTTCCTAAAACTCTGCAGTATTATACAAAACATGTTTGAAAAATATTTATTGGAAAATAAAAATAAAAATTAGTAGCATGACAATAAATGGTTAGTAATCATAAATCATCTTGTTGTTCCAGCTTCATCACCTAAAACATAACAGCAATCATCAACTCACTAACATCATAAAACACTAAATCTTTCCTTTACACACATTTAAAATTTTATCAAAACTCAAATTCACTTAATTTTAAAACCAGATCATCAAGGCTTATCCTTGGATCTTAAATCATTTTCTACTTAATTAAATTTCAAACTTGATCATCAAGGCTTATCCTTGGATCAAACAGAACAACTTTGTTCTCCCCCACCCACTTAATTAGTGTCTAACGACCTCAAACGTCGATTCACTACCCAACCCTTTCTAAAAACCCAGGACTAATAGAAATTTTTACACAAAACTAATCATTCAAATTAGGATAAACAGTGAAGAACTTCGGTTATTCATCCTTCACTTGACCCCCCCTCTTACCAGACCCAGGATAAATCTTAGACTTAGTAAGTTTAAAATAGTATCTAACGAACTACTCGCGTTCTAATTATACCTGAACCTTGTGGATCGATTTACTATTCTCCAACCCTTGAACACAATCACTACCCCTAAGTAAGATTAAGTAAGTTAACACCTTAGCTTATACTAGTCACGAGAAAGTAAAAATCATTCTTCGGAATCGATATACTTTTCTCTCCAACCCTGAACAAATAGACCCAGGTTAAGCTAACCAAAAAATCGTAAGAACTAACAGTTTAGGAAAATAGAAATCATTTAACAACCTTTGCATCCGTCATTCTAAACCTTATGTCATTTAAAAACCTAGGAAATAAACAAACAATCATTTTACACAATTGTGAAATAGATAACAAAAAATACGACCTTGTAATCACACCTCATACACAAACAGTTGGATACATTCGCACAAAACGACAAACACTAAAGAGGAAAATAATAACTAAACAAAGACAAATAACACGAAAAAGATTTTCAAAAAACCGAAACGCATTTTCAGAATCAGAAACCAACAGTTTAGACGAACTTTACAAACTAAAAGAATCAGTAGATAAAAATTACCCACTTCACGATCAATTATATTTTTCTGACTCAGAAACAACTTCAAATTCATCACAAAGAGGAAAAAGAAGAATAAAAAAGCAGTATAAACACAAACCAGTACATTTATACAATTGGAATCAACCAATTCGACACATTAATAATTACATATTAACAGTCATCGAACGAAAAAATGAGCTCAACGCACACTCCAGGTGAAGAAAGTCCAGATGATGATGAAATCTTTCCTTTTATAGTAGACGCAGATACTGATAGAGGACAACACATATTTTGTCAAAATTTACTCGTAAATTTATTTGAACCCGGAATCAGTCCATGTAAAACAGAGTTCCCCGATGTAAAAATCAAAAGACAAATCATAGACCACTACTTAAAAGATATATGCAACATAACACAACAGTATGGAATCTACTCTATAGAATTCACCTCACCAAACCATAATAATAGAACATATACAATTCAAACAGACGATCTTGATTTAGAATTTTCAAAAGTTTTTTCAGAATATATAAAAAGCATCCAATATCATAACTCACAAAGAGCAAACTCCATATTCACCAATGAAGTTTTCACAATAATATATAGTTATATTTCGATATTAGAAAACGAAATCCCAATAACAAATGTCTCACCGACAGAAACATCTAAACATTTAAGAGTACGACATGAAATCACACTACTCTCTAGTTATTTAAACATCATTAAAGAAAATTTCACGAAAGACGACGTTTCACAACATACAAAACACGATCTACAAAAAATTTTGGCATGGTTCATAATAGATTATTTTACACACAATATTGATTTAATTGCACAAGCAAGAAAAAATTTTAGACCCCAAAATTCGAACGATGATACCGCTATCACAGAACAATCAGATTATGTTTGGGACCCCGAATGGTCTCATCCCGCATTTATAAGCTTTCCACAATCAATCTCAAGTCAAGCAATAGGTACAATATCTTACATAAGAGATTATGTAAGAGTAATACCATTAACAATTGATGCAACACCATTAAACTATAATACATTTTTACCCGATACACAAAATAATAGTTTAAACTCGACAGTCATACACAACGAAAACCTCAATGGAACTAGGAATCTTACTCAACAAGATATCCAGACACCATCACACTTCATAAATGAAGAAATTGTACACACAACAACTACACAACAAAGTATTTCACCAATACGCCCAAATTTAACAACACCAAGAAATACAAATCCTTCACAAACACAGGTAACCTTACAATCAACCGTTAAACCTTCGGTTGCCCCTAAATATTCACATATGGATTACCAAACATACAGACCCATGACAATACCATCAAAAACACGCAAAACATTCACTAGAAACAACTTTGCAGACCATAATTATAATTATACACATCCATCAAAAACAAATTATCAACCACAAAGGAATTTTAATCAATATACAACACCTCGAAACTGGGATAACCCAACGGCCCAATATAATTCCAAAAATTTTCAACCAAATCCTCCACAGGATCGCAGTGAAAATTACCCATTTTTTCAACAGAATAAAAATAAAAAACAAACATCTTATCAAATGGATTATTTATCCTCAGATGATGATTTCTTACAACCAGATATATTTGCACCAAATACTCAAGAATATCGTAGACAAGGAATACAGAGAACACGTACAAATCATAGAAATTTTTCTCCACAATCAATAGATGCACAACATCAACAACCAATTCAACAACAAAATCCAATTAATACACAATCTTTTCAACCAATTCAACAACAAAATCCAATGACTGCACACTCGTATCAACCATCACAAATGCAAAATGAAATACCACTCCCATATTATCTCCAACAACATGAAATAACAAGAAACCAACTTTCAAATTTTTCTCAAATGCCAAATGCAGCAGAATCACTACAAATGACAATGAATCCATACCTAATGGATGACGAAATGTTCAAAAGACGAAATGTTCAATGTTTTAGAAAAATACCACCAAATACTTCAGAACGAAAATCTGAAGGCCGCCCCCGATAAATCACACTTCTTTTTGACAAGAGTTAAATTCTTAGGACATAACATAGAAAGAAAAACAATCACTCCACTGAAATCACGCATTGACGCTATTCAAAAACTTCAACCACCAACAAATAAAAAGAAAATCCAAGAATTCCTTGGAATGTTAAACTTTTTAAGTAAATATGTTTATAAAATGCAATTATATCTACGACCATTTTACAACATCCTTAGACAACAAAATAATTTTGAATGGAATACAGAACATCAAGCACGATTCGAAGAAATAAAGAAACTTTTAACTGAACAAATTTCAAACACAATTCCAGACCCTGATCAACCATTTTATGCAATGTGCGATGCTTCGAACTTTGGCATCGGCGCAGCACTATTACAATCACATAATGGTACAAATAAAATGAACCTGATATCAGCAAATTCCCGATTATTCACTCAAGCAGAGCTACGACTCTCAACTCTAATGAGAGAATGTACAGCCATAATATATACACTGACAGAATATGAATTTCTGATACTTGGATCAAAACATCCAACAGTTTTATTCACAGACCACAAACCAATCATTTTTCTTTTCACACAGAAATCTAACCCAAACCACCGAGTTTACAGATTTCAACTAATTCTAATGAAATTTCCAAACTTACATATAGTTTGGACTGCAGGAAAAAATCTTGCATTACCAGACACCTTAAGTCGAAATACACCACCTGAATTACTTACACGAAAAACAACAGTTGAAATACCCAAAAATATAAAATTCTACCTTGCAGAAAACGAAACATCACCTCGATTGGAATGCAAATATGCAGTTAAAACTGATATTGAACAATCACAAATAAATAATTTACAACATTTCCCACTTTATCTAGATTGTCAAAATAATCATTATGAAGTTGACTTACTTGGAACATCAACTTTCAAACCAATCCCATATTCTCAATGGATAAAAAATAACACCCAACAAAAACGAACAAAACAACACCCACCTAAAAAAGACCATTTTCCGCTAATTGAAAAAGAAGATTT